GGTAAGGGGAGGCTGTTCTCCATCCTGCCCGTGTTTTTCTCGCCGCCGTGTCTCCTCTCCCACTCTAGAATTAGCTCGGGGGTTTCCCATTGTAAAGGAATATGGGCAGGGAGTTGGGTTGGTTTTTATTTTTCTCTTAGCTCCTTAAAAAGCTTTAACGCTGATAGCGATAAAAACCTGTTTCTGTAGTGGGAGTAGAGTAAGTTCTGGAAGGGGGGGGCTGGTGAAGTCGCTAGGGCGTGGTTGGGTTGTGCTGTCGCTACCCACCGAAGCGGGTTTGTGTCTGCCTGTGCTGGCAGAGCGTCACTATCACCGAGAAGTGTTATGTTACGTAAACCAGAGGAGATCGGCGGACAGCCGGTACCTCCCTGCGCCCGCTCTGCCCCGTTTTTGCTGCCTTGCCTCGCTGCTTCTTTCCTTTTTTCAGCGCTGAGTGAGGAGTGCCTTCCCCCTCCTGCGTCCCAGCAGGGACGTTCTTAGCTGCTGTCTGGGGCTGCAGTCCTGCTGCCTAAGCAGTTGGCTGATGCAGCTGTCCAGAGCTTGGACCAAGGCTAGACTCTCCCTTCGTTCATTCAGCAACACTTTATGGTGGGTACGTTAGAGTTTAGAGACAGATCTGTCACAAGCACGGAGTAATTAGAGTTGAAAGTTTCCACAACCTTGTGTGATACATGTAGGTTGGTGAAGTATTTAGGATTTGCCAAAGCTAGAGTATACCAAGCCCTTGCCAGTCTTTTCCTTTTTCTCTCCCCTTGCTTTTTTTCATGGGTTGTTTTAGTAGGCAGATCCAGTTTTCTTAAATACTGTAACAGTTGTGAGAGTGAAAGGACTTGAGCAGAGCACTTGAACTGGTGCTGGCTGCAGTGGGCAGCTGCTGCTAGCATAAAGGGAGGTGGGAGCTGCTTTAATCTCTGTGCACAAACACCTCTTCTTTTCCTCTTAACCTTCGCGTTGTCACCGACGCTGTTGTTTTTCTCAGAACAGCTAGAACTAGAAGTAAATGTTTTCTTAACCACTGTGTACTCTGAGCTCTAGCTTGCTGCTGTAAAACTGCAGAAGGCTGTGGCTGGGGAAGATAACAGTGGCTGATCTTCATTCTCACACAGTGTTTTCTATAGTGTGCTATATGAAAGGTTGTGAGAGGCCTTCTCTCGGTGTTTGGGCTGCTTTCATACTGCAAGCAAAGGGTCTCAGCATAATGTGGATTACACGTGATCTCTTGGAAAACGGCGTGAAACCAGCAATTCCGATGGCAGTGGCATCTTGCCTCTCTAGGATCAGCAGTAACTGATGTTATTTTTGTTCTCTTATAGGTCCACTTGGTTGGTATTGATATCTTCACTGGTAAAAAATATGAAGATATTTGCCCATCGACTCATAACATGGATGTTCCAAATATCAAGAGGAATGATTACCAGGTGAGTTAACAGTCACCGTGTCCTCCCACACATTAAGAGGCTTTATATTCCTAATACCACACGTAAACTCTCTTCATCCCAAAACTTGCCTCCCAATTAATAAAGTAGTGTTGTCAGAGTTAATGGAACTTGCCTGTCTAGACATGATATTGCTGAACTCATAGCATTTACTGAATTGTTAAAACTGTCAGAGATCTCCTTACTGTACCAACAACCTCATGTTATAGTAGCAATCTTTAGAAATGACAGGTAATAGGCATAATTCAGAATCAAGTTTTTTCTAGCTCATGTTTTAAGATCACTTTATTCTTTGCGATACTGACATCCTTTAGAATCTGGAGAGAGGTTATCCCTGCTGCAAGTTATTATTAGTTAAAGGATAATCAAAATCTTACTTGAAGTAAATTTGAATCTAAGAATGTATTGTAATTTCGCCTTTACATAGTGTAGGTTAATCAACAAGACATTCTTAAGCTGCATCTGATGCCAGCTCTAACTTGGTACAGAGCTTTCCGCTCCCTCTGTGGAAGCTGGCTTTAGTTTATCTCTAGTAATTTTGGTGCTCCTGAGCTCTTCTCTGAAATATATGGATGAAGGGAACTTGGCAATCTTTTGTAACTTCTGTAATGCCTTCTGTGATATGGATAGTGAGCTCTTCAAAGCAGCACACTTCAGGTTCGAGTTTTAACATGTCAACTATGTTCCTTTTGCCTTGGGAGTAGTTCTGGTCAGGAACTGATACATCCGCATCAGTTGGAAAGCTGCAATTGCTGGACAAAGCCAAAGTTCAGAGCGTTAGCAATTCTTCAGGACAGCTGATGCTGTTACATAAAGTGTGACTATCCTGTCTTAGGGCTCAGACCTTCCAGGAGATTCTTAGTGTTATCATAGTGATCTTCCTCTCGTGTTGTTGGGTCCTTATTGCTACTGAAATTCTTGCTGTTTATCAGACTTGTTAGAGCTGCCTTTTGGGTTTACTGGTACGTGTTCCAGGTTCCCTAACCTGCTCTGTCAAAATAGCTGTTCCCCGTAGCTGAGGCTTTTGGTTAGGGCTCTAAACAGCATTATAGAAGTGGTCCAGAGCTTGGTGGATGTTCCCTAATTTATTCATTAGCCTTTAATGTAGGTGATAGTATCATTGTACAAATGAAGATACACAAGTGTGCTGTTCAACCATTGTGTACTTTGCGCACTTTGTAAAAGCAGTGCTGTTCAGCGAACACCATTCCAGTTACTTTTTCTAATTCACAGATGTAAAAAGCTGAACCAGTGACCTGGAAGGAGTAGATCTTCTAACTCACAAGGATGGGGTTTGCAGTGCCCCGGGTACTAGGAAGTAACCAGCAGGGTTCTGGTGATTCTTGATAGCTGACTGGCTTTTGCTACAGTTACCTTTAACTCTCAGTGGTCTCAACTGTTGTTAAAAATTGACTTAAATTAGGTTCTTAACTGTTGCAAACACAGTACTAAAGAATTAATGTAACAGAGTTCACTGTGCCTTCTGCTTATCTTCAGCTACTGCCTACTAGTGACTACTGATGTTAAATTTCCTAAAAGTGAACTTCTCTTCACAGCTGATAGGTATTCAGGATGGGTATCTCTCCCTGCTGACAGAAAGCGGTGAAGTTCGTGAGGATCTAAAGTTGCCAGAAGGGGATCTTGGCAAAGAAATAGAAGGAAAATTCAATGCCAATGAAGATGTGCAGGTAAGTAGAGAGGGCAGACAAGAAGAGTTATGCTTAATTCCACTTGATTATACAATGAAGTTGTCTTATTCTGGTATTGTCCATTTGTGTGTCTGTGAGGAGCAGGTTAGAAGCACGGGAATTGGTCCTTTGAGATGTAGAAAGACTTTTGTACTGGAGCACTATTAGGGCATTGAAGCCCATCTCAGTTGACAGTGACGTGATCTCTCAAATGCCTAGATAAATCCTAACAGTGCTGTCTGCACGGTATGGACTGGCACCTCCAGGCTTTCTTAACTGGGACCAAGACGTGGCTTGACTAGTGCGATTTGCTATGTTAGCAAACCTGCCTGCAAGTATCTCTGCAGACTGTAGTCTATACTGGGCCACAGCAGTTGCTAGTTTGGCTCTGTTGCAGGAGCTTGTTCATCTTCCTCTGTTGTACAGACCTCAAGCTGCCAGTCAGGGCACGGCAAAGAGCAAACCAGTGTGAAGGACAGATACTGTAGAAATTCTTCTAATGACTGACCAGCTTCAGCTTCCTTTTTTCCTATCAAAAGGGATGGGATAGATATTAAAATGTGAAAGTCTGTAACATAGAGGAGCGCTTCCTCCAGCATGGGTTGGAGCTCACCTATCTGTCTTTTCTTCCAGATATCCGTCATAAGTGCAATGAATGAAGAATGTGCTGTAGCCATAAAGCCTTGCAAATAAAGAGGATCGCCAGGCTCGGGCAACTGCTCAGGTCTGGACCAACCACAGATCTATAAATTTGGTTCCTATTGTCACCAAAGCTCTGGCCTTCACAAGCAACCTCATTTCTTTTTTGACTTGTTAAAAAGCAGTGCTGGATTCTGGATTAGTGTTGCAGGCTAACTGGCAGTTTTCAAAATCACTGAGATTTTAATTCCTTAATTGTAACTATTTTAACATTCCTGTGGGTTTCAGCTATGGATCTAAGAAACCAATCAGGTGTTACTAGTGGATATATTTTTATTTGCTTGAGCAAAACAGTGTTTGTCTGTATGAACAGACAAAATACAGTATTCAGGGGCTTTTAGATAAGCTGGTAGGTATCTAGGATTATAAAGTGACCTAGAGCACAAATAGTATTTTTCTTGACATGTTTAGGTAGAACTGACAATAAAAGTAGCAATTTTTTTTTTTTTTAAAGCTTAAGTATTTTGTGGATTGGGACTCTTGCAGAACTGTAGGTGCCAATCGCAACTTTTAGACCAAGAAACTCAAGTGATCAAAAATGCCAGCTGGCTTGACCAAGCCCCAGTGGCCATGTGCAACTTAACTGTATTACCTCTGTATTCTTCTTTGCCAACTTGTTGGCTTATTGTAACGATAAAATAGTGTCAAAGCCTACCTGTGGTTTAGGCAGGCAGTTGGAATATTGGGTAGATAAGGCATAGATAGGTCAAGGGGACACAAAGGTGAGAATGGATGTTAAAGCTATAGACTTTCACTCGAGGCCTTTGTCAGACTTGAAAAATAAAATAGAAAAATGCAGTTCAATTGCTTTCCTTTATTGTATTTATCTTAAACTATAAAAGGCTGACAAACTCCATGGGAATCTGTTGCAGTGCTTCCAGCTTTAGGTTTTAATCTTCAGGTTCAGACCATATTTTTGTAGCAGAGGGACCACATGTTTTTCAAAAAGTGGGACAAACTGTAGCATTGAGCCTAAACTAAATGCATGTGATTCTTTTTAAAAAAAATGGAACTATTGTGTTTTCAAAATATAGACTTGACAGACAATACTGAACAACCATGGCTTAACTATAAAAGTAAATAAATTGCTACATAGTTATGAAAGCTAGCTCCTCTCCAAGGGAGTTCTGAGTCATTGAAACACGCACGCATGCCTCTATTTAGTAGCTTAACAGGCAAACACAAGGCTTCACAGAACTAGTCATGGAAGGACAACTAGCCTGCTCCTGTTTAAGGCGTTCAACTTGAATTCTAAGACTTGGTGACTCTTCATGAGTGGGAAACTTCCTTAGCCCGTGGCTTAGACCTGTCTTCACAGTTGATAATTTTTTTCATGAACTTGCCTTAAGCTTCAGTGACTGTTGGCTAATGGAGGACAACTTGGAAACACGTGGTGTGCTTCCCTGGACTGCACCCACAATTCACACTGTTGGCAGTGACAGTCAGACTTCACGCTGCTGTTAACTGCTTTAAATGTTTTTGGCTTAATAATGTGTACTCTCTAATCCCCAAAGGGCTCAGGGCAACTGGCCTGAACTGCCCTTGTACATACTGTGGCAGGGCGTAGCAAATCATGGAGGTCCAATGTAGATGGCAAACCCACACATTTTCCATAGACTTCTCCTGACAGGGAAGGCAGTACGGTGAAGGTAAGACAGCAATAAATATACTCTGGTAATAAAGCACAGTTACCTGGAACACCTGGCAGAAGTAGGATACTGCCACACGCTCTCGCCTAGCACAATACACATTGCAGGTGAACTCTATAAATAGCACCTCGACTGAAATGGCAAAACTGCTTTTAAAAAAAGCTGTAGATGCAAGAGATTGTTCTGAATGCATTTCTGTTTTGAAGTGTGTGCTTAATAGTTCAAGCTAGTCTGCACTGTGCTCCTTTCTGCCTCTCCATCAAACTGGTACCCAAAAGACAGGCTTTGTTGGCTTTGGAGGTGACTGTGAAACCATTGATGATGGTCTTGACAGCGAGCTGAGCTGTGTGATGTCAAATGGAATGTCATAGGTTGCTGTGTCAAACTAATGCAAGTTCTAATACTATCACCGCATTGCAAATACTTCTATTATGCTTGAAAACTACAAAGCTTGGATTTGCCCTTGTTCTGGTAGTGCTTTAGTCTAGTTTCAGGTGCCTGTCTGTCCTCTAAAACCTTGTTGCAAGACAGGTATTTGAAGCCACTGCCCTACAATCTAAGCGTGTACTTAGACTGTAAGCTCTCTAGGATGAGGGCTGGGCTTTCTCCTGTTCCTGTAAGCAGAGTCCTGGTCTGACTAGGGTTTTCAGGTACTACAGCAATCTAAAGGTAGAGGTGTTATGTCCTCCAGCTTGCTGGAAGAGCCCTCCTTGGGACATATGGATGTCCTTCTATTGCAACCTTCAGTTCTGCAAGATTTAAATGACTAAGTACTTCATTATAGGTTTGTTCTTACATACTTAATTGTCTTTTGTGAAGCGCTTCAAACACTATGGAAGTGCAGAGCATTGGCTCATCATGCATGAAGTTTCCCATAGGTCATACATAAGCATGAGTCTTGAGCATAATCTCGAAGTTTCAGTAAGGTTAAAAGTTGCTTCTAAATTAGAACATGTATTTGAGGCATTTTTTTTCCAAAGTAAGATGTTTCAGTTTACTGTCAGAATTGTTTGCAACAAACTTTGTTTGTGATCAGTAGTCCATATAGATGCGTATTTCTAAGATCCCTAACCAAATGCTTAGGGAAATTCTCCTTTCATAGCTTTACTTTAAAACAAATCTTACCAATATACTTGTTCTGTAGTACTATATTAACACTTAAATTGTGTGAAAAGCGAAAACTATAAACTTCTAATACCTGATGGCAATTGCTTAGAGTAAAGGCTGTGAAAACTAGGAGGTGAAGAAAAGTATTTCCACTCCAAATAATGCATTTTTTTTCATGGCTCCAATTCATTGAGTTTCTCTTACTACTTTACCGAATTTGAAAGACTGCAGTGTTTCCTGCCTCAAATGTTGGCAAATAATACTTTAAGATTTCAATAGAGTCTTCTAATTTTTGCTTATAATGGTGGTTTTTCAACTAGGCTCTTGCTAGTTGAGCCATGTTCTCAGGGCTGTTTTTTTTAAGAAGTTAGCTGAATTTCATTGTTTTAACGTAACTGCTTTCAAGCCTCTTGCAGGTTTTTCTAATCCACCATGTACCCAGAAATGGTGCACAGTCTGTAGTTTCACAATACAGGTAATTTTACATAATCTGTAAAGAAGTCAAATTTGTTGACAGTTCAGACTCTTATGGTTACTGCAGGTCAGTCTCACAGAACTCAAAATTCAATAAATCCCACCTTTTTTGGTTGAGTAATTTAGAATGTAGTTCGTTACAGTAGAACTAAACTTCAGGAGAAAAAAAAAAAAAAAAGACCTTGTTAAGGATATTTTGAGTATCTCACTTGTACACTGAGAATGTTAATGAAAGTGTAGATCCTGGAGGAATTGTGCTGGGAGTGTGGTGGAGTGTTTAGTTCAGCACAGTACGCTGAGAGCGTCAGAAGTCTCTCCAGCATCTGCAGTCTGGCCCTGCAGTATTTGGCATCTGAGAGTAACATGGTTTGTGAACTTAGAACGAAACGTTTGCTATGTATTGCTGTAAACCTCTGTTGTCCTGTGCTGTATCTTGTAAGCGCAACTGTTGTTCGGTGCGGCTTTCGAAACGCAGGGGGAAAGAGGAATGATGGTGATGACTCGTTTTACCGATCATAGCAAAAACCAAACCCTGTAAAGTGTGTGAACCGGGAACGGTAGTCCTCGTGGTTCAAACATGTATCTGTTTTGGAAGCTGTATTGTTCTCAACACTATGGAAACAGTCGGGGGAAAGATGTAAATGCGTGTTTTGCTCCAGAACTAATAAAGATGTCAGTGCTGTGGGGAGCTGGGTGCTGGTTACAGGGACGGCTGGAGAGTCTTTAAATCTTCGGTGAGGTTCTTGATGGATCCGCACGCTCCGGCTCTGCCTAGTCACAGTGAGGATGCTCTGTCCTGCGGGCCTTGGGTCCCCGCTGCCAGCCAGCACCCTCCGCTTCCCTGAGGAGAAACACCTCACCGCCAGAGCGGCGCGGCCTGCCGCTTGTACGAGAGCAAGAGCTTGCGTTCCTGTCCAACAGAAATGAAAATCAGAAAATAAAGTTCAATAAAAAGGTGACTCGTTCATGCTAAAGACGTGTGGCGCCTGTTTATTCCTCTGAGGTAACATGGGGCCCCGCCCCTCCCCCGGCCTTCCCAGCATGCCGCCGGCCGCGCAAGCGCGCTGTGCGGCGCTTGCGTGATGACGTCACGGTCGGTATAAAAGCGTGGCGTGGGGTCCGGAAGCTCTTT